TATTCGTTCCATCGTCCCTCGTCAAGTCCCGAGTTGTATAAGGCATAAACACGTTGGTCGCGGTTATCGTTGATGGCCCAGGTTGTTCCATGCCGTGTCTGTCCCCGGATAAGAAGGTTCTTAATACAACATAGGGAACCGGTGAATTTATTGGCGGTTTATTGAGCCGTCGGTTGACATCCGGGATTCTTTAATTTGCCTCGAAGTTCGATAAGCCCTCGACCCACAATTTCGACAGTGTCAAAGTTGGAGTCGAGTCCCATCAGTGCAGCATGGGTTATTACCTCCAACTATGGGTCCAATCTTCTAACCGTCGGCTGATGCTCATGCACTCGCGTTTGCAGCTGCCGGCCGGTTTCTCCAACGTATTTTCACTTCCCGCAGATGCACTGAAGCCGGTAGACGACGCCTGACTTCTCCTGTTTAAGTACATGGTCTTTCGGCCGCATTTCTTGTTGCCCAAATGTGTATGTGGCTTCTGGGCAACCCATATTTCGAGAGGCATGAAAGAGCTAGCCACAGTTTCTGACTTTTTGCTCTAACTGTAATATACTATTCAAGTGCTTTAAGGAGAGCTTTGTACTGAAGTACTCCTTAGTCAAGAAGCCTCCTCATGATATCGCTTTCAATATGACCTCTTGCCGTAGAGAACTATTCATGCAGCTACTGCGATCTACCGGTGATGTTGACGAACATGAAACTGCGTAGACAGAGAATTCTGGTATGGGGATGGAGAAGCAGGGATTGCCAGTGTGGTCGATAAGTCAGAAAGGAGCACGATCTCTTCGAGTATTTTTATTTAAGCGGATAAATATGTGGCGCTCCTGAGATGTTCATTGTGAGCTGACAGTTTGTCTTCGCTGCCAAACGTTGTGCAGCCGTTGACGTCTTGGTCAACTATCTGCAGGTTGAATCAATCCGCGCATAGGACCTCGCGCGAAAACCTATCGCTGCCAACGAGTGCTTATGCACAGGTCGCCTACGCCCGTCTCAAGGTCGACCCACTTCCGCGAGTCCCCGTTAGAACTCGATCCAATCCATAAGCGCCATTTCCTGATTGGCCGGAGAACGTCCCCAGATCCCGTAACCTGTGCGCACAGGCAAAGAAGAGGCACAACAGCTACTTTGTCTACTGTGGGCTGCAGTATTCTGCAAAGTCTTTTGTTAGATAGTTTTCCTACAGTATACCGTCCTACGTAATTGGTCATACCGATTTCTGACTTGGGGAACCTTATGTAGTCGACTATCACTCCACTATAACTGGAATATCTATGGCAGTGGAAATTCGGCTTACCTGTGTTGCAACAGAAGGCTACCGTAACAAGGCCCCAAAAACCGTGTGTGACTGCTTTAAGTATTGCTGTGATGTCTGCAACCAAATTGTATATGTGGCTAGGATAGGAAAGCTTAATGCAACTGTGGACATCCCAACGAAAACTCCACCATACGTACAATCGTGCCGGTAGTGTGAGTAAAGATGAACCTGCCGAAGTTCCAGAATAGAATTACTGAAACCACGGTTTTGCTGATCCACCGATCTGTTTAAAGATGCCGAAGTCGATAACGGAAGGCTTCCTTAATGCGAAGCTAGGGTCGACTGGTAAAGTTGGCCAGTGTTTACGATGCGTAAGAACTTTTAAGAAGCAAGCGTTACTCATAATTTTCTCGGGCAAATTTTTGATTTGTGCCTGCGCAGGGAATAACAGGGTAACTGTTGGATGAAGTACTTCAATGAAATGGTGCACACCGATTGGCCTAGAACCGACCGAGAGGGCGGGGCGGCGAAAAAGGCAAAATGGATGGTCCCGCAGCGGGCAGGGGTGTGGCGGAGAGATTTTCATGTGCGAGTGCAAGACTTGGCAGGCGAAGACAAGGTGATGCAGCGATAATGGCACGTATCAGAGACCCCATAGTATCCCCAAACTAGACCGCAAACGTCGTGTAGTGCAGCCATAGGGCAGGTTAATGTATCAAGTACATGGTTAACAAATGGTCAGGAAAATGAGTGTTGCGCACACTACTGAATTATTTGCATGGACAGTTTCCCGTTAAGTGTTCGGCACACTTGAACACCTGCTTCTGACCCTCTTAGTGCTACAACACTTCCCTAATTCGCCAAAGGATGGAAATGTACGTCATTGCAAAGCCAACACTTAACGCATCAATTTCTACTTTAACTTCCTTAAGCTGAACTTGCGCAGCTTGCAGAGTATGAAGCTGGTACTCAAAATCCACCATCCTCTTCCACCTAGCACTCACCCATTTCATCTGTCCGGTCTGTCCAGCCAACTTCATCTGGTTCCACGTCACTAGTTCTCACCACATTTGGTGCCGAAGCCCGTCTCTGTATCTCCCCCTGCTCACTCATCTGCAATCGATGCAAACAGATTACAACAGTATGCCAGCAGGTTAATGCCAACAATCGTACGGGCATCTCTAGCCCGATCGTACTTTCTACATCTGTGATGCCCTGAATAGCAGATGTTCCTCTTTTGCTACTGGCACTCAATTGAGCATCCTTCCTCCCTCACCAGCAAAATTTGGGTGCCCGAACTCGTCTTTTTAAGCCGTCTACACTTCGTAATCTGCCACTTTTAGTAGCTGTTCTCTCTCTTTGCACATCGCTTTCCAGCATTTCTTCCATTGAGACTTTATTGTTGGTGACGTGCTCTATGCAGACATTATTGCTGCTGCCAATAAAAGCGAAAATGCGAGGCAAAGGAAGTAATTGAGAAGAAGACGAGCCGATCGCTGGTACGATCGCTGACGATCGAGTCGTCGTCTTCTCAATTTCTTGCTGCCTTCGATCTTATGAAAGACGGCCTTCACTCGCGGCTATGTGACCAGACCACCGAGTTGACTGTCCTAGGTATCCACGCCTCTGATATGTCTCGTCATAGTGCCATCCTCAACCCTGACCCCAATAGTCCATTTCGGTGGTTTCTTGCCAGATATCCTGGTCTGACTTTCAGCGCTTCCACCCCACCTCTCTATGTTGTTTATCACATATGAACCGCGGATCCTTGTACGTTTTCTTGCCCCCGTCGTCTGGCGCCGAAGCAGGTCTTGCGTTCGAGCATATACTTCATGGGGACATCGTCCGTCAATCTAAAAGTCCACGTGTCTCACCCCTGCATATAGTCCCAAACGCCGTAATTGTTGACTGGCGTCCTTGTGGTGAATGACAGGGGTTTGAATAATATTGCCGTCCTGAACCGCTACCCCGTCCCGCATCTTCAGGACTTTACTGGTGCCCTTTTGGACAAAACTATGTTTGCAAAGATGGATCTGACCCGTGCCTTTCATACAAATCCCCATCACTCCGAATAACGTTTCGAAAACCCCTTTGACCAGTTTGAGTTTTTACGCGTGCCTTTCGGACTCCGCAGCACCTCCCAAACCTTCTAGACGTTCGTAGACAGAGAGCTTCATGGCATTCCTTTTGTCTTCGCCTAAATTGACTGCATGTTAGTGGCCACTTCTCCCACCGCCGACCACATAGAGCATCTGGCAATGGTGTTTGACCGCCTTCGACAATTTGGTATTGTCCTCAACCCGTCCAAGTGTGTCTTCGGTGTTCCCTACATTGAATTCCCTAGACGCCTTGTTGAAACCAGCATCATCCATTCTCTCCCTTCGAAAGTCACTGCCGTCCGCGAATTTCCGCCCCTGTCTTCCAAGCGTAAACTCGAATGATTCCTTATTCTCTCTAATTGTGCCGAAACCATTCTGCCGCGCACAAATCTCCTCTGGGATCCCAAAATCTAGTGCGGTGCTTTCGACAAGGTCAGGGCTGCCCTAGGTAATGCCACACTCCTGATGCATTCAGCCCCTGATGTTTCCACCAGTCTTATGTTCAACGCCTCCAATATCGCGGTCGGCGCGGTTCTCCAGCAGCGCCTTGCTACTCAGGCCCAATCCGTAGCGTTCTTATTTAGAAAGATAGAAGCGGAGAGTAGCTTCTCGTTGTCTTCCTTGCCGAGAAACACTTCCGGTACCGCTTTTAGGGCATCTAATACATTGCGTTCTCCGAAAGAAACCACTTTATTATCCTCCGGAACTAAAATACCGATATGCTGAAGTCTTAAGAAGTTTGCCAACGAGACTATATATCTCTCAGTTCACCTCCGATATCCGTCACTTCGGCGGTTCACGCAAAAACGTGGCTGACATATTGTCTAGACGCATCAGAAAATCACTTCCGCGATTGGCTTGTGTGCCGAACAATGCCGTGCAAACTCGCCCTTTGACGAGCATGTTTCCAAACTTTAACTCCAGGACCTCCCACTGACAACTGGAATGGCGCTATCTTCTGTGACACCTCCACCGCCTCTCATCGTCCCTTTGTGTCGTCATCCCAACGAGGCCAAGTCTTCTTCATCCTGCACAATCTTCTTAATCCTTACAATTCAGCTACCGACAAACTGGTTTCCGACCACTTTTTCTGGCCTAGGATGCATTAACACATGAAACTTTCGACACGGCTGTATCTTACCTTTCAAGCGAGTAAGGTCCTTTCGCACAATAAAGTTACCATAGACCCAACCCCAATCCCAACATCTACAGCGAAGAACTCTACAAACTCACTCGTTCTCTATGCCCACTGTATATACATCACCCGTAGTATATGCAACACTCATTTTCCTGACCATTCGGTTACTCATGTACTTGATACATCAACATATCCTGTGGCTGCGCTACACGACGCCTGCTGTCTAGTTTGGGGATACTATGGGGTCCCTGATACATGCCATTATCGCTGAATTACCTTGTATTTGCCTGCAAAGCCTTGCACTCGCAGATGATAATCGCTCCGCCATACCCCTATCCGGTCCACTGCTGGACCACCCAAGTTGCATTCGCTGGGACAATACTCCTATTCGCCTTAAGTTTCCAAATCCGTCCCTTCGTGAAGCAGCGCCCAACGGGAGAATTGCACCAGCCGTTTAATTTAAAAAAAGACTTACATAAACATTAATACTGATTTTGGTAACAGACACACTTGGATTTGGTAGTGATCAACAGGGAGTACGTTTAGCGCAGTGGACAAAAGACGCAAAACGATGTATAGAATCCAATGAGGATGATCTGCAATGTTCAGTCACTAAGTCTAAAACAGCGGTGTAGAACCCCGATGTGTGTGTATGTCCTGTATTAGGTGGTGTTGGATAGACCCACTGCAGAAAATTATACCCCATATAAGAGCTTTTTGTGATGGGTTAAAGTAGTGGTTAAAAGCCTTCTTCTTGTAATCTTCAGGTCCGACTCCGCAGGGGTAGACAAGAACAGAGAGGTCAGATGGAAGGAGTAGTTTATTATGTACAGCTGTAGTGGAGAATAGGTAGGAGGGAATTGAGCGTGCGGGTGAAAGCGCATCTACAACCGAGCACGACAGCGTTCGAAGTGTCTAAGCGTGACACCCATCGCAGTAAGGTCCTGATGTGTGTGAGTCTCAAGGAGTTGATTGGTCAGACTGGATTTGGGAAGCGGGCGAGGGCATACGCAAAAGTTTGAGAGCTGGCTGAGTTGGCGACAGCTATTATGGTCCCTTGTAGAGTCGCGGGGACTTGCAATCGTATGAACTCGTGCGTTGCCCGTCACTGAAGGTAAAAGACAACATGTTTACCTAAAGTAGGTTGTATAACTGATAAAAGCCAGTGATTTTTGCGAGAAAAACTCTGGTACGTAGAGTAAGCTGAGCTACGTTCCTAAAAGTATTAACATAGCTGCATGTGCGCAGCCAGAGTCTGTGACAGCATTATGAACAGTAATTCAGATAGCGAGAGATAGCAGATAAAGTGACATGGCTGAGAAGAATAAGATGCGACAGCTGAAAAATGAAATTAATTCGCAAAATATTTCAAGTTTACGAACAAGCAGATCACCTGTCACATAAGCAGAAACAGAAACATGTAAGTTGTATAAATTACGTTGTGTTATTAGGCATGATTGTTTGTAATTATTTTTAATCTGGACTACTCGTTTAAGATAGCAGTTAGGGTAGATATTTAAGTTTAGTTGATTGTCTTAACTC